TGATGCATCAAATACAACTCTGAATTTCGTTGTGTCTTTGTGCGGAGTGATTACGGGTTGGTGAGGAAGGTAATGCTTCGGCTTTCCATAAGTGTCATGTTCTTCATCCACTTCCTCCAGAATGCCCATACGTAACTGATCTTGAAAGATCCCATCATACTATCGCAGGATATGTGGCTCGCTTTTATACTTGTACAGTATACCTCTCAGTCGGTGCAGCACTAGTGTTCTGTTGTCTGGTAGATATTCATGTTGTTCTTCGAAAAGAAGACGTACAACATATCCTTCGTCGCGTTTCTCAATGGAGTTATTGAAATTTTTTAATACCTGCTCATTGATACGAGCCTTCTCTTCGTTTTCAGGACCGTTTTCAGGACTCTTTTTCTATTTCCTGATTTTGCGTGTCCCAGTGATCTTCCCAGGGTGTGGTAGTTCCTAGTGACTCTATCGAATGTACAGTTGATTGCAACTGTTGGTCATGTTCTTCATATTTTTCAGTGCGTCTCCCAGAGACCATGTATCTTAAGCGTGTGGGTACAAGTGTCAATCCGGAAGGCAATATAAAGTGTGGTGCTTCGAATTTTATGAACTTCCATAGCTGATCGCATCCAACGAGTATCTCTGGAGGCTTACTTGCTTCACTGTCTGAGATGCTCAGTTTTATTCGCCTTTTATGGATGAATAGCATGTCTTCTTTTTGGAGCCTTCCTCCATTCAAATTTCTTGAAAGGTTATCATGAGTATAGAGTCTGAGCTGGTGCTGCTCTCCGTCAGAATCCCATATATTCAAAGTTGTGTCACCACATTGAATTTCCTTTGCTGTTTCAGCTCCAAAGGTCCTAAGTTTCATGGTGACTCTACCTTGGACAGGCAACTGAAGTTCACCTGCTAATTTGGCATCGAGGAAACTGCCATCTGCACCCGTGTCCAAGAGAATGTGGAGCGTGATGAGCTTCTTTGTTTCGGGATGTACAGTCCGCACAGCTCCCGTCAAGAGGAATATCTTTTCTCGTTGTTTTTGGCGAGTGTCTTCAACTCTCATCACCGTAAAGTTAGAGGTTTTGTTCCTTTCCGCCTGTGCTTTTTCCTCTTCACACAGTGAAAAGTTTTGTCGGGCGTCTACTGGTTTCTGCTTGTCCTCCTTCTTTCGATTAGTAAAAGGAGTTTGGGCTGGCGGATCTGCAGTCGCGGTTTTGAAGCATGTGGAGGTGTGGTGCTTCTTTCCACAGTGCATGCACCCTTTAGCCTTGCATTCAGCGAAGCTGTGAGTCTTAGACCCACAGCCTATGCAACGGTTATTCTTCTTCAAGTACTCAAGGCGTGCCTTAGGAGTAATGATTTTGGAACATTCCGTTGACCAGTGCTCCTTGCTGTCGCAATAGAAACAGAATGGTGGACGACTTCTTGACTGGAAGTCTGGTTTATTCTTCAGAGATTGCGGGGTACTCTCAGGTCTTCTGGGCATGCACCTTTGTATCTCTTCTTCTTGTTTGATTACACCATCGAGGGTAGTCATGAGTTTTGTTAAAGTCCAGCTTTGGTCTTGGGACAAGGAGACTTTCTCCCTCAGTGTGTTACGCTGTATTGTTTCCGAAAATTTTGAAAGAATTTTCGATAGCACCCATGGACTATCAAGGGATTCACCTGTGTTAGCCAATTGAGCGGTAATGGCGGATAATTGATCGTGAAGCTTGCGCTGATCCTTCAACTGCGCGCTTCTGGCGCTCCAGTTTTCCAGTTGATGATGCAAGCTAGTAATAATGCTCTGAGCATCTCCATATCTTTCTATGAGAAGATTCACCGCGAGGTTGTAATTGCCCGCCGTCATTTGGAATCGGGCCACCGCCTCTCTGGCTTCGCCTTTCAATGCTCTCAGAAGGTAGTTGAACTTCTGGAGGTTGAAAGTTGTGAAGAGTGCACGCTTGCGTCGAATAATTCCCAGAAGCTCTCCCACTCCCATGCTTTGCCGCTGAACTGGGGTAGTGGTATCTTTGGTAACTCTATTCGAGCTGTTGTGCTTCTACTGCTGACGGTACTCCCTACGCCAGCGATTTCGGAAGACATCGATGCTATCTTACTTTTGTTGATTTCAAGTTTAACCAGAAATTCTGTTGTTTTTGAAATCATATTTTCAGCATTTGCTAAGTATTCCGAAATTTTTTCTTCTTCTTCTCTCGAAGGAACCTCTTCGAGATTATCTATAGCCGCAGTAAAGTCAAAAAGTGCTTTCTCAGAGGTGTTTCGGAGTGCTCTAACTTCTACTTCGGCCACCTTGATTTCAGTGAAGCGCGCTTTGCATGCTTCACCATCTTCCGTGTTTGTAATCTCATCAAGCAAGAATGCTTAGCTAAGCTATATGTGAGATTGTTCTGATGCCTGGTCAGTACCCCTTTTCTCGTTCTCAATGTCGTTGTCATTTTTGAGTGATGTGAATGCTTAAGTGGGGTAATGACCAGTAGAGCTTACTACCAGAGAACGTGCTATTCAAGACTTAAGTTAAATTTTCTGTTAAATGAATCTGACCTGAATCCTCTGGTCTTCTTCCTTGTCCACTTCGCTTGGTTCGCTGCGTTCATCTGGTATGCTCTGATGGTTTGGCCGATGCACCACTTTTGTCCGGTCCGAAGAGGATAGTCGATAAAAGGTCTTTATTCTTACTAATGGAAGCCTTATATATGAAGTGTAATCTTATCAGCTGTTATCTTATCGTATCAGTGCTGGAGTTTCTGCTTGATAAGATTGCTTTTCTTTATCTCGACTTTGAACATGTTCTTGCAAGTTTGTGTTCATGCTTTCTTTTCAATCCATAACCTTCATATCGACATTAATTTTGTAAATAAAACAAAACAATAATAACGTCATTATAAACCAAATTCAAACAATGCTCGACGAATCTTTCTGTCACCTCTGTGACAGGGCATGAGTCTGAGTAATGTTTGCCCCTGCAAAATGCGCATGTGATAAAAGGGCTGCTTACGGATTGGTCATTCCCTATCTTCCTCTTTGGTAAGAGCCACAGTCCCTGCTGGAGGTTCTTGAGTTTCTTCTCGAACGCATTCGCTCGTCCTCCATTTTGTTCTGGCAGTTATCAATCCTTCTGTCGTCCGAATTTCCTTCGATTAGTTTATCTATGTATTCGTCGTCGGTGAGATCTTTTTCTCGAAGAACACTATCTCCTCCATGGGGTCTTGGTGAACATTTTCTGACTTATTTCCTTGTTCCCATTCTGCACGTGATTGGTTCGATATTTGTCCCTTTTCGGTTAGCATGACGTGAATGGTGACAAGAAACATGAGTCTTTGAGCCAGCCTTTTCAAGTTTCCTATAGTGATGGTACTGGTGTTGAGCGATCTGGGTGCCATCAGTATGATTTCTCCTCCAGTGTCGTTGGTACAGGTGGTTTTCAAGAGGTGTTTTGTGACCGACATATTGATGGCTTCCGCTATTTTTACTCAAAAGGCGGATCTTCAAATGAAATTCAAAGTCTTTTGATAAGGCGCTTTTCTTTCCGGCGGTTGACTGTTCTGCAATGAATTGTATGAAGCCCTTATTGAATGGTTGAGTGATTTATTTGAAGCAAAAAGCGAAACTAAACAGCAACAAAAGGCAACACAATTTAAAGTTTTTTTTGCTTTTGTTTGTTGATCTCGGATCTTTATTATTGATCATTTTTTGTGGAAGGGATTAATGAGGTTTATATGTTACTTTCCTCATCATAGTTTACCCTTGGCTGTGGGCTTAATGCATATCGTGGGTTGTGTGGAAGTTGTTGTTCAGAGTGCTCGACCCTTTGTTCGACAGGGCAGTTCAAAATGCCCTTTCCCTCTGATATTGCAGTATCGTTCACGTACCCTTTATTGCCCTCGCTCTCGTGTAAATCATCTTCTAGTTCCAGAGGAACTAGTAGATTTAAGGGTCGTCTGATGTGTGTGGGCAGTTTTATAATTGTTTCCCTTATTATTCCTTTATTATTGGCTACTAGATCGTGGATCTTTCCCGTTTTCCAGACGTGACGTGGCATTGCTGCCTCACTTATAAGCAGGGTGCCCTTGCGAGGTGGCAGAGCACACCCTCTTTTATTCCCCATATTGAGCAGGTGTTTTTCCAGGAGATGTTTTTGCCAAACGTTCCAGAATTTTTCTGTTAGCCTGCATGAAGTTTGGAGTGCCGCAACTGTTTGGGTTTTTGATTGTATCATGAGCAATTGCTCTTTTGGGATGTAGTTCTGATCTGGGTATTCCTTTAGTGATGGTTATGTTGGGTATGATAGGCAGATGTCCCTTTGTAAGAAATCTATTGGTCGCACAATTTGGTTTCTATCGATATCTGTCGTATCATATGTAAGCGGACGGGTGTTGAGAATAGCTTCGATTTCGATTATCACGGTGGTTAACTCTTCAACCGATGCTATGGTTCTGCCAAAAGTTTTGTGCAATGATTGTTTAATCGATTTTATCATTTTTTCATAAAATCCTCCTTGCCAAGGAGCATACGGAGTTATATGTCTCCAATCTATTTCCATTGCCGATTTCCTTGGCTTCTAAAGGGTCTCTCTGAGCGGCTTGAAGACTTTCCTCGAGTATTTCTTCCCCTAGTAGGAAGGTGGGCGCGTTGTCGCTGATGATTGTTTTTGGGACTCCCCTACGAGCGAAAAATCTTCGCAACTTCATGTAGGAAACATTCTTCTTCATGTTCTTCGTGTAGGAATGCTGTGGTCGATAAACTAGAGAGACCACGTCAAGGTGAAGCAGTCTTGTTACCGTGCATGTAATTATCGCTCCGTAACACTTGTCCTGGTTGCCATTTTCTGCCTTTATTGATAATGGTCCGAGTAGTCTAATCCCACATGCTCAAAGGGACGTGATCTCACTCGTTCCTTTGGTAAATCTTCTTGTTGTGGATAGTTGTAAGGTGGATTATTGGATGGCACTTTACGCATTTACGTACCAGTCTTTGGACTTGTGATCGAAGTTGTAGAACCTCACGGACAATGATTTAGGCTAGTGTGGTTTTTTGTAATATAAAGATGGGGTCTTCGAGAATTCTAATTGTGCCTTGCCCAGGCATCCGTAACAGCGATATATTCCTTCCTTATCCTTCTGAATATTGAGGTCTTTCAGCGCCTTTCTGATGTCACTGGTGGCATTGAGTCTTTGATGTTTTTTTATTATGAACTTTGCTGCGGATTCTATCACTAACGCATAGGCAGTCTATCTGGCTCCCGGAGGATCCAGATAGACTGCCTATGCGAGATCAATAGGAAGGGTGGATACAAAATCGCGATCCAGATACCTGGCATCGCGATTTTGTATCCACCCTTCCTATTAATCTTCGTCACTGCTGATCGAATAAAACGAAGGGCATATGCAACAATCCGTTTTGCTCGGGTAAATGTGTGTATCCTTCCTCGTGGTAGAAGTTTATCATCGCAAACTGCCACTTCAGCCGCTATGATTCTATCAGATTTCGCTTCCACTTTCTTTTTTTGATCTTTGGCAACATATCCGAATACTGTGTTCCGTAGTGGCCAATGGGTTACTTCGTGTTGGAGCCACTCTGGTCCTGTCCACCAGTGGTGGTGACTGAATTCGCTTTTCGTCAAAGCTTGTTCCGCAGTCAGCGGGGTTATCCTACGTGTCCAAATTGCATAAGGCAATGTTCTTTGGCTAGGTGTTCCACAATCCTTCTTATTTCCATCAATCTGCGGTCAATGAAAACTCCTTACTCTCGTTTGGGAGAGCTTTTCAACCAGCACAAGGCAATTTCGGAATCCGATAGGATATAAATTTCTCTTATATGTAGCACACCCCTTCAGTTGGGTTATGATAGCATTCGCGAGAGGTGCTGCCAGTGTGATTGCGTTCATTTCGAGCTTTGGTATTGTTGTGTTTCCATGGATTGAGGGTAGTTTTTTGCCATTAGAAGCTGGATCGTTTCGGCGTGCCTCATAAAGGCGCATGCAATTATTCCTGTGGTGCTAGCATCTGCGAAAATCACAAGCATCACTGTGCTCATTTTTATTAGGATGTCCGGAAAGTTTTGAGAAAATTCGGTCATTTTATTCAACACATATTAACAACAACAAAAGCGAAAAATTAGTAACCAAGATAGTGGCCCTTCTTAGCAACGACGTCTCTCCACCGTTTGGGCAGGGCACCGATACCTTCCTTCCAGAAGGAAGCAGGACGGGATGCAATGCATTCATCGACCATACGCCTGACATCCTGATGGTTGTTGAACATCTTGCCCGTAGCGTAAGCCTAGAAACTCCTGAAAGCATGGTAATCACAAGGGCTAAGGTCAGATGAATACGGAGGATGGGGCAGCCATTCGATTTCTAAATTCTCCAGCTCGTCCCTTGTCGCCTTCGCATGATGTGGTCGGGCGTTGTCCATGACGATGTGGAACTTGCCCCGGTATTGGTGGGAAACTGGTGCTCGGGACACCAGCTCTCGTAGTTGCTCACAGAATATCCATGATGTTACAGTAGTACCCTCATGAAGAATCTCGTAGTAAATACAGATGGTGGAGCAGAAGAGAGCAAGTCCTTCTTGGCGTGGCAGCCTCGCTTTGGAACGGGCTCCGGCTTTTGATCCGACGGCAGCCACTCCAGTTTCCTATCCGGGTTTTCGTACGAGATCCACTTTTCATCCTGAGCAATTATGAAGCTCGCCCAAGTCGTCGTTCTTTCTCTATCGAGGAGCTTCTGACACACATCGACCCTCACCGCACGCTCCCTTGCGGTAAGAGACCGCGGAATGATTCCGGGCAAAGCCGCGCGGGGGCCGTTCCTTTCCAGAATGCCGTGAATAGTGGATCGAGGAGTGGAAATCGTCCTCTCAAACTCCCTCAGACTTTGGGCAGGATTGGCCCTCACAGAAGCCAGCACGATGCCAGTGTTGGAAGAGGGAGGGCGTCCGCATCGAGGTGCTTCATCGAGGCTAACTCTCCCACTGCGAAGCGATCGTACCACCTGTAGCAGGTTGCAAGAGAGGGTGCATTGCCACCCATCGACGACAGCAATTCGTTCCTCGCTTGAGTGGCGGAGCGGCCGGAACGGTACAGGTGAAGTAGGATACGTCGAGTGTCGTGTCTGTCGCACATTATTCGATTGGTGACAACAAAGGCTATTGACGAAATGTAATATTGGTCAGCTGCTGATTTGATCTACAGACAATGCTCTATCTTCCTATGTTTTGGTCTACAGATTTGCTCATGGCCTTCGCGAGCTACGCTTTTCCAAATTGAGGCAGCGAAATTTTCTCAAAACTTTTCGGACACCCTAATAATGTCAGATATCTTGGAATAGATTTGTGAAATCCGATCATATCGTTGCTGATTTTGTTCCATTCTTCTTTTTCTTTATTGGGTAGAGGGGTATCTCACTCGTATTGAAACCTCCAAAGGTTTTGTAGGAAGACTTTTGCTCTATGGAGAAGCGGGATGTACCAGCCCATAGGGTCGTACACAGTGGCTATCGCACTTGTTACAGTCCGCTTAGAGATTGTCGTTGAAGACTCCTTCATTAAGCAATGAGCCTCTAGCGTATCGGTCCTGGAGTCCCACTCGATTCCAAGAACCTTCTGAGTGTGACTAGTTGCTTTATCTACATCCGGTATCGAGTTCATGAGTGCCAAATCGTTGGATGTGAACTCACGCAAGTTCATTTTCAGCTCGTGGAATATTGCTTCCGAGCTATGGCAGTATTGCAGCGCTTCTTCATATGAATCGGTTGTCAAGAGTACGTTGTCCACGTAAAGGTTGTCCTTGATCTTTTGAGCTATATCTTTTTCTTTGTGCTGTCAAGATGATAATGGGTTGTTCCAGCCAGAAGAAAGGGGGAGGACAGTCCAAAAGTGACTCTGGTAAAGCGAAGTGTCTGGATATTTTTCACTGAAAGAGGTTGCTCATGATCCTTGAGCCACAGACAACGTGTTGCGTCCCTATCTACTTCATGTAGACGAACTTGTAAGAACGCCTCTTCCACGTCCGAAATTAATCCTATTTTGCCGATCCGAAAGCGTAAGAGTAAGCCATATATAATTGGTAGCATTACTGGTCCTCTGTGCAGAATGTCGTTCAAGGAGGGACTATCTTTGAAGTGAGCTGATGCGTCAAGTACGATAGGAGCTTTGTTGTACTTTTCTGGGGAGTTATAACTGGCTGATGAGGGATGTAGTGCACTTGGACTCCTTCGTTGAGGCTGTTTTCGTCTACCGTTTCAACAATATTCTTGTTGAGCGGATCTTGAAAGATGCCATTGTATTGGTCTAGTAAGTGTTCACCTTTATTCAGTGAGTTCCAAACACTAACAAGGAGTTTATGCGCTATTGCTCGGTTATCTGGTAGATTTGGATGTTGTTCCTTCCATGGTAGACGCACGTAATATCCATCTTCTCGACGTTCGATGGACTTGTTGAATTGCTCCCAAACTCGTTTGTCGAACTCGGATTGTGCTTTCTTCTCAGGTCCAAGGAATTCTTCTGTCGCAGCAGAGTCCATGGTCCAGTATTGTTCCCATTGATCTCGTTCCTCTTGGGAGATTATTGAGTCTGTCTCTCTAACCATAAAGACATGAGCAGAGTTCATTGACCAGTGATGGTCCCAGAGTTCCACTTCACTGTCATTATCTTGTAAAACTTGTAGAACTGTTTCTTCTCCTATTTTAGATTTGCCACAGATCAAGTGGCCCAATTTTGTAGGTAGTACATGTAGTCCGGACGGTAGTGCAAGTGGAGGTATATCACTCCTAGTCCGGACGGTAGTGCAAGTGGAGCTATATCACTCCTCACAAAGAACCACAACAAGTCGCATCCTAAGAGAATAGATGGCTGGATGATTCTTTTTTCTTGTTTCGCCTTGACTGGAAAATTAAGATCGTAGGAATTCCTGATCTTGACTCGATGACGATGGCGATACTATTGAATGAGTAAGAATATTGTGTGGGAGTAACTCATGAGAATGTGGGTTTCCATCTTCATCCCACATCTCCATTCGTACTCTTTGAACCTTCGCTCGATTACCTCCTTTGTGTCGAAGATGACACCTCGGCTCCGATGTCGAAAAGAACATCCACTGATCAGAGCCCTGCTGTTGGGATCCAGCACTAACTTCCCCTGTGGGTAAATAAGGATGTCGAGAGCTTTGCGTGTTCAACACCCTTTGTGTTGAAAGTATTGGTGTTCCTGTGGTGGACTATCTTCTGGTTCCTGAGTGAATATAGCATTCGAGTGAATCTGATTTTGTGAGCCCTTGTTGAATTTCATCTTTGAACTGTCATTCTTCTTCCTGAAACCTCCATTCGAGATGCTGGTCTTGTTTGCCAACGAACCCTTGTTGTTCGAAGGCGTTGATGCCGATTCCGAGAGTGGTTTTGGCCTAAAGCAATACGAGGTATGATGTGGGCCATTGCAATTGAAACAAAGGCGATCCTTGCACTGATGTGTTTCATGATTAACTGATGCACAAATGAGGCAAAGTCTATTCTGCCGTAAGTAAGATGACCTGTCTGTGTGGGGTACTCCGTGCAGTTCACCGAAGAGTGTGCATCTCTGCAGTACATGCACCTAGGTCCTGTTTTTGCGCGCGTAATGCTTGATTTCCCGTAAAAGTTGCGTCCTTTTGGTACAATGGGATTCTTGTCGGCGAATGACAGGAATGCTTCCTCCGTTGGGAGAATTTCGTCTATGAATTTAAAAAGGTGTCCCATTGTAAATGTTGTTTCTGTCAGTCCTTGTTTCTTATTTATAACTTTCCGTTTAGTAGAGTCAAGAAACTTAGCGAGTATCTTCCTGATGAACCATGAGCTGTTTATGTTTTCTCCCTCGTCCTCTAACTGAACAATAATGGCTTGAAGTTGCTCCGAAAGGGAGCGCTGGTCCTTCATTGATGGGGATCTCAGAGTACAAGACTCCAGCCGCTCAACTAAATGGTTTACTAGTTTCCTTGTTATTGTATTTTTTGAAAAGACATGATATGGCTTTGGAATAGTTCTCGCTAGTGACTCTGAACTTGCGATGGCTTCACGTGCTTCTCCTTTCAATGCATTCAACAGGTAGTTGTACTTACCCACATCAGAGAGGTCCTTCGAATTGATGTTGCTATCGAAAATCTCCCAGAAGTTACCCCACTCCCATATATCCCCATCGAAGGTTGGAACGGGAAGCGGTGGTAACTCTATAGCTTTGGGCTGTATGGGACTCTGGTATTGGTACTGCTTTAGGAGAAGCTTGCGCCAAGTTCATGGGGATGCCTGATCAACTCGTGTTGTGGTCAGCGAGAAATCGTGGAGGCGGCCTTGCAGGAGAACTACGAAATCAAAAGCACTTGATATCGCGGTTTCTGCTCTTTTTGAGTACTGTTCGAGATCTTCTTGTTCACTAATATTGGTGTTTTCATGGTTGTCAACTTCTGCTGTTAACTCGAATAGAACTTTCTCAATTTCTTCATTAGAGCCTCTATCGAAGTAATCGCTTCTCGCGCCCTACTTATCTTCTCAGTTTTTTCTTCTTGTGAACTATCAAATGAAGAGCTATTCTACTTCTTCTGCCTTGATCTCTCTTATTGACTCTTCTAACTTATTAGTGAACAATGTTAATAAGCGCTTACGTGTGGCGATCTGATTAGCCATGATGCTCTGCGCACTTCCACGTATTGTAGTTCCGTCAAATAGGTTGGTAGTTTCTGCTGAGTTCGCCGTTCGCCGATGCACCAATTTGCAGTGCTATGTGCCACGCGGTGTTTTGTGTGTTGAATGCTGAATGTGGATGACGACTTGTATTGGGAACAACTTTATTCGCCGGATGCCTGGAATTCCTGCTCTTGACCAGAGTCCCACTATTGGACGTCAAGGCTTCAGTTCTTGGATTGCGATGTGTTCTGAATGAATGAACCATACCGGCCTACCATCACTTCTTATACAATATTCTATCTTATCACCTCAAAGATACTTATCAATCATTGTACACAGCACGTTAGTGAAGCAGATAATTTTTCCTATAATAAACAAGTTAAACCTTGAAATGAAAGCGTAAAGTAATGAACTAATTGTAGCTATTGCTACAGCCCAGTACACTGGGTCGATACTCATACTTTCCTAGCTGGGAACATCAGCGTACGCTCAAAATGCGGCCATCTTTCTACCCTACTGATTACTTTCAACGCTGTTGCGTTAAAGAGCGTTGATCCAATGTCTTATAGGAATACTTGGCATTATAAATAGATTTGGTATATTTGCCTTGCATATACGGTGAGTATTACGACTGTACCCAACCATTGTTCAACCGTTTCCGGCCCTTTATTCAGGACCGATAATTGCGGTGAAATAGGTCGGTACGGGGAGTGATTTTGTGAAACTCGCATTTCAGGTGAATTTTCTTCTCCTCTTTTCTGCTAATCGATCTTTGTGATTGCGAATTCTCGTTTTGAACCCTGCCCACTTCGTTGTTGTTGAGAGCTATCACCTCTTTTGCCAACCACTTATTCACACATTTACTCAACTGTTCTTGTTTCTAGAGCTTTCTGAGGCCAAGCAGTGCTGATCCTATCCCGCCCTCCGCGAGCATGTTTTTTCCGCTCACTTGGCGCCCTTATTTCGCCACTAATTCGGTCTCAGAGCTGATTACACGTTTTTGACCCAAAGACGAACTGTACATAACACCCAAGCACGGTCGCTCAAAGATGCACGGAAGTTGGGCTGGAAAGTAGTGTTACCCGCTGCCGTGTGCTCCCTACTCCGCTCGCGCTATACTCAAGCTGTAGCACTTGTGTGGATACCAATATCCCACAACGAAACACATGCTCAGTTGTAGAGAACAGCTAGAAGTGAGAAGGGATAGGAAAGTTGCGCGTTTGGTTACTTCTAGGCGTGTGGTCGGTGCGGTGTGGTCGGTGAGCGCGAGGCAGTTTGGAGTTGGCATCGGGCATCAGTACTCTTCGGTCTCGTTCTCGTGCAGTTTTGAGCGAAGAAGATGGCATGCTGCTGCAGCTGCGGACCCTTTCTTCACACCTGGCGATCAGGACTGACGGGAGAGAGTGTGCTGTTTGCCTTCAGATACCTCTTCCTTACAAGTTTACTCCGCCCAACGTACGCGATTCTCTGCAGTCCTCAGACACTCTCAGAATATCTTCAACGTTTTTTTCATTCTTTGAACTGTCAGGACTGAGCTAACTATAAGACCATCAACAGTACGAATCTTTTCTTTTGCTCTGCTTCGCCTACCCGCTGTTGATCCTCATCTAGTGTTTCACGGCCGGGGGGCCATCCCGCAACTGAATTCATTTTTTTGTCTTCGGTAAAGCTCGTGCTTACCGAAGACAAAAAATGAATTCAGTGGCGCGATGGCCCCCAGTCGGTGAAAAACTAGATAAGGATAATCAGTGGGTATCAACAGTGGGTAGGCGAAGCAGTGCAAAATAAGTGATTCGTGCTGCTGCTCATGCATCGTAATTTGTAGGCCTGGTTCGGTTTAGTTCATGTGTGCTTTGTACAATACCCATTCCCATATTCTTCAACTTGACCTGGGTTCTCGAAATGGTTCTCAGCTAATGCCAAACAAAATAAACATGCGTTGCCCTTTTCACAGAGAGTGAGTGAGTGCTTTATTGTGATTAGTTAATGCATTACACCTAACGGGGACTAACTTTCTTACAGGACATTTCGACCGAAAGCTTCGTTTTTGGGATTCGAGAAATCAAGAACCTGTTCATACCATGGAAATGGCAGGAAAAATTACCTCACTGGACATGTCCTCTGGTTTGTTTCAGAAATTTCAGTTTTCCTATATTGCTTAGTTATAGGTTTCTGAGTGTTTATCGTTCTTCTCTCTTTTGATACAGATGGCATTCACCTTTTATGTTCAACAAGAGACGATACATTGTCCTTATTGGATATTCGGAAGTATCAGACAGTACATATATACAGGTGTTTCTTGTATCATAATTCAAAGAAAATCAAGCTACACAAAACTTCTTGTTAGTGACCTATAGCTTTCTAGCGCTGAGCACTATCGGACTTCGACTGATCTCTCTCGTTGTGTTCTTTCGCCAGGGATGGGATATTGTGCTGCAGGGTAATTTTGTTTTCACTTGGTTAACATGCAACGAGCATCCAAAGCATCTTCTTTGAAAATGATTTCCAAATGATTCGTTTGAACTGGGCTCAGATACATAAATTATGATATTTGATGATAGGAAAGCGACCCGAATATATACAAAGCGTTAAGGTCTGCGGATGGGCACGCTTTTATTTGGAACGTGCAGTCTACGAAGCTGGAAAAGGTTCTTCATAAAGGAGGACATGAGTAAGGGTTCATAATAGCAATATTACTGTTATTACTGCAATTATTACTTATTAACACTCATTCATGAACATCCCAATGCACATGTGTTGGCACTGTACTGTTCCAGGCACGCAGTGCTTTCGCTGAACTGGAATCCATCTGGTCATGGTTTACTTACGGCGGACAAGCAAAAAACAGTCTGCATGTGGAAATGATTCTTCAACATTTCACTGAAAAGAATCGTCTATATGTACCGGAACAGCTTTGAGAATACTTCCTATAAAAATCAAATTTCACTTTGTTTTGACGTTTGCAACGTTGTTTTTACCAGCTCCTCAAATTGTCAGACATTCAGTATATCAGTGTCAGTATTCTCAGACGAAAAATGCTACACGCATATTCCACTTGCTCTCAGAGTTGTCATTTGCTGAGTCTCGAATATACTCTGTTGCAGGTTACAACCCGAACAAATAAAAACCTACAAGTTGGAGCCTCTCTAGAGAAGAGAACTAAATAAATATACATAGTCATGATATAAGTGTACATAGTCATAATATATATAGAGGAGTGTAAAAAATTGCTGCGAAGCACGATCGACTTACTAACCATTAGACCTTCAATCTCAGATAGCACCCGCGATCATCTTTCACAGGTTGTAAAGCAAAAGCAAAAGAATCCATTAGGTCATTTTAGAGCCGTTGAAAATGCCCTAAAAAGACCTAATGGATGGAACTGAAAATAGATTAGTTACCGGATTTTGGGCAAGTTCTCTGAATCTAATCGCCATTTGCTGCGACTCATATTCCATGGCATATTCGATAAGATTAGCAATCATCACTGCTAAGGCTGCGTTTATACTTTGCGGCAGCGTAGCGTAGCGTAGCGCTTCCAGCGTACGCCAGCGGCAGTGCCGGGGAGAGGATACATATCGATCTAGCGTTCTCAGTGTCACCAGCGTAACGCTAGTGAACGCCAGCGTTTCTCCAGCGTTTCACCAGCGTTTTGCTGGCGTTTGCAGCGGCAGGGGAGTAGAGACTATGTGGCCGTAAGAGACGCGCAATCGTTGTGTATTGTAGAGACTATGTGGCCGTCAGGAGACGCGGAATCGATGTGTATTGTAGAGATTGAGGGCGAGTGAGAGACGCGCAATCGATGTGTTTTGTACCCTCCAGCTCTCCCATAGTCTCTACTCCCCTGCCGCTGCAAACGCGAGCAAAACGTGGTGAAACGCTGGAGAAACGCTGGCGTAACACTAGCGTACGCTGGTGACGCTGAGAGCGCTAGATCGATGTGCATCCTCTCCCCGGCACTGCCGCTGGCGTACGCTGGAAGCGCTACGCTACGCTGCCGCAAAGTATAAACGCAGCCTAACGTATCACGTTAATAAAAAAAGGATAGAGATAGAACTTGTTGACTCCTCCTTCTTAGGCGGAGTCAGCTTATCTTAGCTGAGCTGTCGTGCTTTTACAAGCGCCTTTGAGCCGCGAAAATGGGATATCCGCTTTGACATCAAGTTCCCCCATCTTGTACTCCAAAGGACTTCTGCACCATGGTTGATCGCGGACCCTGTCTTTCAGTGACTAAAGGCACGATAAATAATGCTGGGATCTCTGGACCAATATGCAGTCGCAAAACCTTCTACATAAAAAAGTTGAAAATCAAAAACAACGTGCACAACACCTAACAATGAGTATGAGACCCATGGGCACATAGTAGGCCCATGCCAGCAGCAATTGCCGTTGTGCTGTCATGCGGCTAATGCCGTTTGGAGTCCAGCAATTTCGGCACCGAGCTTATTTTCAAGTTTCCTAAGTCACCAAATCCGCTGAAAACTTGTATATAGGGGTAGTTCAACAGTCCTGATTACGAATATGACATTCACTCTTGTCGCTGGCGCAAAAGAGAGGACACTACGATTACGTCCTGGGCTCAGCCCTAGCAGAGCGCAGATAATCGTAGTGTCATCCATTAGCGCCAGCGGCAAGAGTGTAGGTCATATTCGTGATCAGGATGTTAAACCACCCCTATACACAAGTTTTTAGCGGATTTGGTGAATTGGGCAATTTAAAAATGAGCTCGGTACCAAAATTGCTGGAGTCCAAACGGCATTAGCCCTCTCGTGCCTGTCGTCTCGTCCGCCTCTCATGCTTTGCCCTATATCGTCGACTTAGCATGAAGCCGTTGGCCTCGACCACCTTCTATCCGTCCAGTTATCGGAAGACATAGCAATCGTAGCTTCCTTACGCGCGATGATAGACGCGACGTTTTCTCAGTTTGCGTTAGCGATTGAAGCACCCAGCTTCACGTAGACTGCTACACCAAAGATATTCAGGTGTATTCGTGGTTGTACATTGTCTGTTTCCGCCAATTCACCGCCATTTCCACGCGCTACGTCGCACGCGATGCCCACCAGCGGGGAGAATTACGATTGCCTTGTCACGTACCCCGGTAATCACAGTCGACTGCAAGAAACAGGGTCTTATTGAAAGCAGTTATTTCTTTATTATTCGCCAGCGAATCAGTTAGCACCTACTTTTCTGCTTTTGAACTCCTCGCCTACGAAATGCAGTCGCGCAATCGGTCCTGAAGTGTGCAAATGGCGATAGTCACTCATAAACGATCAAAGGACTACTCATACTGTGGGAAGAGATGGAGAATTGCTTACGGATTAGATCGCATGCTCAAACGCTTCGAGCATAATACAAGTTAGCCACCAAGAATGCTAAAGCACGGAGAAATTCTAACGAGAAATTAAAATGGGGACGGAAAGGGTAGAATATTAAGAGCTTGAACTGGTAGTGACCACCAGCTTTTGAGTAAGCTTTCTCAGTTCAATTAGTTCAGTACATTAAATTGTGTGTGAACAGTGGAAATATTCCCTAGTATGTTCTATATTAGAACTGCTAATTGGCTAACTTTTAGAATTGCTTCTTCTTGCGTAAGGAATCGCTTCAACTGCTTTTTTGCCTTCCTAGTAGACGTCGCTTCTTATTCATGAACTTACTGAAAGAGCCTCCGTGGTTTCAGCCTCCCAGTTGAAAGGAATAAGAAGAAGTCGAACGTGCTCGATCTCGACGACTTGACAATTCACATTAGGCACCTAAATGTTTATGGGAATAGAACCTTTGGAAAGGCGCCCTATCTAATAGGGAAAAGTCTTCATGAAACAACAGAGAACCCAGTGGTAAAACATTCAATTTTTGAGGCAGAATTTCAAATAAGAGAAAACGCCGTTACTTACATATATGCCCACCCAATATTAGGTTGGTCAGGCCCTGCGATATTTGGACCAAATTTCTTCCTTTTCAAGGCAGGACCTATTGAACTTCATTAGGAACTAGTGCTGTCACTGCAACGCAGCATGCGCCGCATTACTTTGCTTGTTCCACCTTCACAAGTGTGCACAGGTTTCACTAGAATGGATCGAAACTGGTGAAGAAGGGAAGAAGCACAATGCCCCCTCCCTTCCCGCCGACGTGGTGAACCATCTACGGCGCCTTTTCGTAAGTTGGGACGTTTTCCACATTGGCTGCTTCCCATCAACCTGCCAACCAATTTAGAGTGCCTTTTCGTAAGTTGACTAATTTTACCATGAGCTTGCTAGACCTTCACAAGAGCGCACAAGTTTCACCAGAATGAACCGAATCTAGTGAAGCAGGAAAGAAGCCCAATGCTCCCAAGCCCTTTCCGGTCAATGTGTCGACCCATCCAGAGCGCCTTTTCGTAAGTTGACAGCTTTCACCATGAGCTTGCCCCAACTTCACAAGTGCGCACAGGTGTCACCAGAATGAGCAGTAGCTAGTTAAGCATAGAAAAAGCACAACATCCCCCTCTTCCCATCGGTGTGTCGACTCGACCCATCTAGAGCGCCTTTCGTGAGTCGACAGGTTCAACCATGAGCTTGCCCCAACGTCACAAGCGTGCACAGGTTTCAACGGAATGAACAGAAGCTAGTTAAGCAGAAAAAAGCACAATGCCCCCTCTTTCCATCAACGTGTCGACCCATCTAGAGCGTCTTTTCCTGAGTCGACACGTTCCACCAGGAGCTTGCTCCGCCTTCATAAGTGTGTACAGGTTTCACCAGAACCGATCGGATCTAGTGAAGCAGGAAAAAAACACAATGCTTCCCTCCCTTCCGGTCAACGTGACGACCCATCTATAGCGCCTTTTCGTGAGCTGACAGACACTGCCACAAGCTTGCTCCACCTTCGCAAGTGTGCAGACGTCTCACCAGAATGGATCGGATCTAGTGAGGCAGGAAAAAAACACACTGCTCCCTCCCCTTCCGATAAACGTGCCGACCCGTCTATAGCGCCTTTCCCTGAGTTGACAGCTTTCACCATGAGCTTGCCCCAACTTCACAAGTGCACACAGGTCTCACCAGAATGAGCAGTAGCTAGTTAAGCACAGAAAAAGCACATTGTCCCCCTCTTCTCATCGGCGTGTCGACCCATCTAGAGCACCTTTCGTGAGTCGACAAGCTTGCCCCAACTTCACAAGCGTGCACAGGTTTCAACGGAATGAACAGAAGCTAGTTAAGCAGAAAAAAAGCACAATGCCCCCTCTTTCCATCAACGTGTCGACCCATCAAGAGCGTCTTTTCCTGAGTCGACATGTTCCACCATCAGCTTGCTCCAACTTCACAAGTGCGCAGAGGTTTCACCAGAATAGATCGGATCTAGTAGAGCAGGAAAAAAAAACACAATGCTCCCCTCCCTTCCGGTCAACGTGGCGACCCATCTATAGCGCCTTTTCGTGAGTTGACAGACTCTGCCACAAGCTTGCTCCACCTTCGCAAGTGCGCAGAGGTTTCACCAGAATAGATCGGATCTAGTAGAGCAGGAAAAAAAACACAATGCTCCCCTCCCTTCCGGTCAACGTGGCGACCCGTCTATAGCGCCTTTTCGTGAGTTGACAGACTCTGCCACAAGCTTGCTCCACCTTCACAATTGTAGAGAGGTTCCACCAGAATGGACAGAAGCTAGTTAAGCAGAAAAAAGCACAATGCTTCCTCTCCTTTCCCATCGACGTGTCGATACATATAAAACTTCTTTTCGTAAGTTGACTGACTCTACTCTGGCTCCCTTCCCTTCCCACTAACCTGTCAACCCATCTAGGGCGCCTTCTCTTAAGTTGACACATTTTACCATGAGTTTGCTCCACCTTCACAATTGTGCAGAGGTTTCACCAGAATGGATCGGATATAGTGAGTCAG